ACGGTGTCGAATAATTTGGTGTCGAATCGTACGGTGTAGAATAATTTGGTGTCGAATCGATCGGTGTCAAATCGTACTGTGGTCAATAGANTATCACCCATAAAATGTAGGGAGTTCTATTTAAAAAAATAAGGTTGACCTTGTAATGATCTTGTAACGAAGCCGATTTTCTACCGTCTTCGCCCGGCCTTCCGCCTGCCGGACAGCTCGGTCGGCTCCAGGGTCAGGAGGAGAGGAAGGGACGAAATTGCGACTCTTGTGTGATTAATGCAGAAATGTAGTGTGATTTATTTACTTAATTATATTATATACATCGGCTATAACTGGAACGGTATTTTAAATCCACGGTAAACGGATATTATATAACTGGAACGGTATTTTAACCAACGGTATTTACAAACGGATATTCTTAGATTCTGGTTTATCGGCGCAATAATTCTGTCGCGGAATGGTTTGCGGGGCGGCCTACAAACGGTCATGGGTTTCGGCGCGGTGGACTTATTATTAGACCTTAACCTACGGGGTATATTTACAAGGGGGGGCGCTGGTATCCGGAAGATGTTCCGGGCTGTGAAAACGACCGGTGGAGTCGTGACAACGACTGTGGAGTTGTAAGAACGACTGTTCTTGATGTNGCGATTACAACGGCCGATTGAGTTTTCGCGGCTCGGAAAGCCGACGGAGATGGTGTGCGCCGAAGCGCCAGGTGANTCAAGACTACGCCTCGACCGGACGGTCAGGATGTGCCCGAGACTACGCNTCTGNCACNNGGTGAGTCGAGACTACGCCTCGACCGGACGGTCAGGATGTGCCCGAGACTACGGCTCTGGCACCGGGTGAGTCGAGACTACGCCTCGACCGGAAGGTCAGGATGTGCCCGAGACTACGCCTCTGACACCAGGTGAGTCGAGACTACACCTCGACNGGACGGTCAGGATATCTGCACCAAGACTACGCCTCGGCTTTAAGAAGGACTGCTCTTGGAGACACTGCCTCGAGAGCTCGGGAAAAGAATTTGTCCCGACTGCAGAAATTGCTCGGCTTATATACCCCGGAGCGGCCTACGGTCCGTCCGAGGTCGGCGTGCNGTACGCGCTTGTTTGCGCGCCGTATCATGCACCTGTGCTGTGTCGTACTGGCACCGGTCTTCTCCTGTACGTGCGCTCTTATTTTATAATTCCGCGCNTTATACTCTCTGTTAGTTCGCAGGGATAG